AGACCCCCTCCCCACGGCAGGTGGACCCGGAGCGTCGCCATCCCCAACCTTCCTCCTTTGCCACCCCGCCGACGGGCACCGGTCGAGAGCGGAGCGCTCCCAAGGAGCGGCCGCTGGCCGCCTGCTCTCAACCTTCTGTTCACAGTCCTGCTCCACCGTCCCCAAATGCTGACCCTGTCATGACATTCAGGAGTAGGCAAAAGCAGCCTGGGCCAGTGGTTGGGAGCAGGGACTGGAGCCCAACGGTTGGCCAGACCCCCGACCTCTCGCCCACCAGTCGGGCGGGGTAGTGTCTCCTGCGTGATAAGCGAGTCAGTCCGGGTATCGGTGATAATCTCAACAGGGCCTGGTACAGATTGAGGGTTAGTGATTCACTTCTCTGGTTAGGAAGATGCCAAGGTTTTTTTGTTTTTTGCTTTTTGTTTTGTGGCTACTGTGAATGGGATTGTGCTTTTTATCTGGGTTTCTGTTTGTTTATAGTTGGTGTAGGAATGCGACTGTCTTTTGCGTATTTTATTTTATACCCTGAGACTTTGCAAAGTCCTTTATTAGTGCAAGGAAGTTTTTGACGGTTCTCTTGGGTTTTCGAGGTACAGAATCATGTCGTCTGCGAAGAGGAATAACTTCACTTCCTCTTTTCCTATTTGGATACCCCTGATTTCCTTCTCTTATCTGATTGCTCTAGCTAGTTGAACAGGAGGGGTGAGAGTGGGTATCCTTGGGTGAGAGTGGGTATCTTTGTCTTCCAGTTTTCAGGGGAAACCACTGGAATTTCTGCCTACTTAGCAGTGTGTTGGCTGTGGGTTTCTTGTCGATGGCTCTTACTATTTTGAGGTATGTTCCATCTATGCCTAGATGTTCAAGGGTTTTTATCAAGACAGGATGCTGGATTTTGTCGAAAGTTTTTTCCACGTCTAATGATATAATCAGGTGGTTTTTGTTTTTACATCTGTTGATGTATTTAATTATGTTTATGGTCTTGCGGATGTTGAACCAGCCCTGCATCCCGGGGATGAAGCCTACTTGGTCATGGTGGATGATTTTTGAGATATGTTGTTGCATCTGATTGGCTAAAATCTTGTTGAGAATTTTAGCATTTATGTTCATCAAGGATATTATTCACAATAGCAAAAACATGGAACCAACTGTGCTGCCCATCGAAAGAGGACTAGATTAAAAAAAATGGTACATACACACAATGGAATATTATGCAACCATAAAGAATGACAAAATTATGAAATTCATAGCAACATGGATGGACTTAGTGTTTATAATACTGAGTGATCTATCATAGAAACAAAGAACTGAGTACCACATGTTCTCACTCACAGGCGGACCTTGAACAATTATCATAATACTATAAGAAAGGGATTGGCAGTAGTGGGAAATTGCCAGGAGAGGGGGGGCACACCTCATCAACAAGATACCTGCATAGTGAACATTTGTATACTTAACCCTGAATTGTACCCCACATCTTTAAAATTAAAAAAAAAGTTTTAAGGGTTAGCAATTGTCTGCTTTAGGATCTTTTACAATGAATATTGTTTTGCCAAGTCACTTAATTCCCAAGCCCTCACCTGACCACTAAGCAAAAGCTGACTTCCTCCACAATTCCATTTCCAAAATGTTAAAAGTAAACTCATGTAAACATAGAGCAGTCATGTGCCAAAGATGTATTTAAGTCAGTGAGAATGGAACACTATTTCCAAGGTGGAAGCCAGGAATGATACATGCAGTCGATGAAACAGGGTCTCACTCTGTTGTCCAGGCTGGAGTACAGTGGCACCATCATAGTTCACTGCATCCTCCAACTCCTAGGCTCAAGCAGTCCTCCTGTCTAGGACTCTTAGAGCCCTGGGATTACAAGTGCAAGCCACCACCTGACTTCGTTTGCATTTCTACCAGACAAAAATCACTTGCTATCTGCCAGTCTTCTGCAAGTTAACCTAAATTTGCAGAGTGTGAGCGTTGGTGATTAGTAAATAGTACTTCCTTTCTCCAATGTCAAATGACCCTAAGTTGACTTGTTAGACAGTGCTCTAGTAGGGTGACTAGGTAGAAGTCTTTTGGATAGTTTTTCCCAACATTTTTAAGGAGGGAAAGAAGACTGTTTTAAGGCAGACGTTGTAAATCAATCTCAAGTTGAAGATACTTCCCATTCACAAGTCACTTGTTTTACATTTTGTCCTCCCCTTTTAAAAGTCAGGAAAGCCTAAAATGATCTGAAAAACAAACATTACAGGGGGAAGAAATTCTCAGAGTGGTGCCTAACCTGGAGGCAGGGAAAGAGGTGGGAAAGGGGGTAGGTACTGGGCGCCAGGGAGGCCTAGTGGGGAGGTGGGGGCGTGCAGCAGGGTACAGGAGTCCAGCCAGTTTGGCCGGGAGGAAGTGGAGGGTGTGTCGGCAACGCCTTCAAGAAATTTTGCTGAGGAGGCAAAGACAGAGAGAGAGAGAGAGAAAGGGAGAGGGAGGAGAGGGAGAGGGAGGGACAAGGGGAGGAGAAGGGGAAGGGGAGGGAGAGGGAGGGAAAGGGACGGAGAGGGAGACAGAGACTGGGAGGGAGGGCGGGAGGGAAAGAAAGAGAGGGAGAGAGGGAGACAAAGAGATAGAGAGCGAGCAAGTATGAGCAAAATGACACAAGCTGAAGGGGTGGGAATGCAGGGCTGAGGGGACATTTTTGGTTTGGTTTTGTTTTCTTTTAAAATGGGAGGAACTTGGGGATATTTATAGACTTCGAGGAGGAACTCAGAGGAGACAGAATTAAAGATGCCAGAAAGAAAAAAAGGCTACTTTATACAAAGATATTCCCCAGGGAACAGAAGGGGTGCACTCCAGAGCCCTGGAAACCCTCTTGGAAACCCTGTTTTCCTAGTGACTCCTGGGTGGTTTCTTGAACCACAAATTCCCCATTTGATTCTGAATTGCTGACCATAATTATTTGTTGAAAGGTGTTTATGGGGCCATGAAAAACCATAAAAATATAAAGTAAAAAATTATAATTATAATGGTATCAAAGGGAAGAACACAAGTGACAAACACAATAGGTTTAACTACCCAGACCCGGAAAGTTTTCTTGAGGTTGTATTGAATTCAGGAAAGCAAATATGTTACATGGAACCCAGGAATTAATCCTCCCGGAGAATGCCCATGAGACTTTAATGGATTAAACAGACCTCAACACAGAGCTGTGAGGATCAACTGTTGTTGCTGTTTGCTTTTTCTCCTTCCTGTCAGAAGTTTTTTTCTCCTATAAACATTAAAAACTATCTTTGGTTTCAGACAATGTCTTTTCAGATTGTTCTTAAACTTTAGAAGTAACAGCCATATGTTAAAGAGTATTTGTTTTCTGATATTGTTTAAGTGAAAATGGGGAGTCTCTACTCTGCAAGCAGTGGGGCATGGGGCCTCAGGGAGTGACATTCCCAGATGTGTTAGCAGCATGATTCTGCAGGCACAAAAATGACGATGGTGGTAAGAAACAAGAAGCTCTTACAACACGAGAGACAAGAGGAGAGACAAGAGGTTCAGAAACCGGCAGAACCTGGGCCTGACAG